AATACTTCAACTAATTAAACCAGTTAAAGTAAACCGAAAAGCTTTTGATCCGGTTTAGTCGATCTTATTGCAACAGCTTCAGCTATGTGTAGAAGACGTAAGCGAACTGTACGTGATAACGACTTCGGAATTCGGTATATAACCCTGAAAGCTGTGTTGACATCGATATGATGTCCAGTATCGACCAAGTGTGACAGGATCGAGCTTTTTATGCAATTAATTTCCCCCATAACTAATCTGTTATTCTACGTTAAAAATGTATCTGCCACATAACTGGCCTTTATTGTAACGACAACAAATATTATATTTTATAATTGTAAGAACCTGAAGAGAAATTATTGAAAAGAATATTCTTCGTTCAGATTGACTTTTAATTCATATACTTTGTGTTTACCTGAAGAATAATGTAAGTAATAAGAATGATTCAAAGTTATATAACTTGAAAGAACTTTGTTGCCAGCCTAACAGTTGAGAAATAAGTGAAACGAATGTAGACAAAGGAAATGAAAAATCGCGTTTATCAACCTTAGAATCAACGGAAATCCTGGTAGATGAATACGTAACAAGACTATTTGTAGCAACTATTGTCTATGAACCTGATAAACATGCATCGCTCAGATCAGTTGGGTCTGTCTATCACATAACGAAACACGAGGCGGGAAGATCAGCACAACAAATGAAAACAGTTGGCACTTTTAAGGGTTTAAGAGAAGAGGAAATCAACTTCCTAGATATTCTTCAATTAGAAAGGTTGAATTCATTACTTTACATACTTTTGAGAACGTTCTAAGTGATATGTAATATAAATGTAAACAATAAAATCTATCAGCTGTTTCATCCTAGTTTGGGAATCATCGGCAGTACGCACCCACTGGAATTCGAACTCAGGACCTTCCAGTTACGAGGCAAACTCGTATGAGGATGGATGTCCCACAGACGACAATGGTTGGGGTCGCGCTAAATCACGAATTGGTAGAAGTTAGAATTCTTGAGCTAGCCAATGAATCGGGTCCCAGTGGCTGAGTGGTATACGAGCTTGCCTTGTGTTCAAAGCCTGGTGTTGGGTGAGTACTGGCGATGATTCCCAATTAGGATAGAACAGCTGTCCAGTACTCCCTGGTTTCCAATGCTTCTCTAACTGATATCAATCCGTGATCAACTCATAAAAATATAACTAACCCTTACAAACCAAACTATAGAAAATAAAATCTAAGCATATTTTAGGTAGCCAAATCAGAGAAGAGAATAGGTTGCAGTTCACAGTGACACATGTGACTATCACGATTTCTCCTAGTTGTAATTATCTGTATAGCCAGTGAAATGCCATGCATTTCTTAGGACCTTATGAATTCACAAAGCTTCTTGACAAGTTAAGAGCTATATTATCTACCTAAAAACAGGGATTGATGTCCAGACTTTTACACGTCTTCCATTCGAAATGTGAATTCGATAATTTAATTACGCAAAACACCTTTCAATATCGTATACGAGTATAAGAGAAAGCATTTAGGCCCATTTCCTCATCTCGAATTTCGACATCACTTACTAGAGTTATATCAACTATCAAACCTAAAAATATATAACATCCTAACCACTTCAGGAGCTTAAAGTGGATAACCGTTAACTTAATATAAGGCACATTAACTTTCTTTTGTTTGAAATACTAAAAAGCAAATGGACTGCTCATAGCAAAAGACACCACTTTCATAGAGAAAAGATATTAACAGAATATTGGAGTCCCATTTAGAGATAGTTGTTTGATTTTACATCTAATGTTTATTATCGTAAAGTGACGCCAAAACTAGTCTCTAGAGGAAAACATGAAACAAACGTGTGTCGATTATACCCACATAGATATTATGAGGAAAGATGAGAAGCCTTTAAAAGGAAATAGTAAATAACTGGAGAAATTTGGAGACGTAACAGAAAAAGGCATATAATCCCTGTTTATTCAAAACGTCAGTTTCCCCCTAATATCTCCAAACCTCATTGACGTTCCTCTGAGTGTCTTATTTTGAGGGTTATTATAATATAGACCTATCGAGGACAAATTTGAAAGTCCTAACGAATGATAATTCTGTCTCTGTCTGTCTGGATTCCACACAGAACTTGGCACCGAAGTGCAGAGTTCGAGTTGCCACGTTCCAAGTAGCACACAAAGGTAGACAAGAAGATGAGTGAAGAGAATCAATAGAGTTTTGACAAGTATAAGAGTGAAAGAGAATGAGTAATGGTAGAAAGGAATATGAAAGATTACAGAGACTGTATACATCTGCGCCACTGACAACGATTTTGAGCCATGTCACCTATTGTCTCCAGCCATTGATTCTTAGAGTCCCGAGGGCCCCAACCCGGAAGTCTGCATCTCCCTACCTGACCCAGTTTAACTGTCAAGGATTTCATGGACTGATGCCATGTTTTTGTTTGGCCACCACTTACTCTTTTCCAACCTGCACCTATATCAGCTAGTAATGCCCGTCGGGGGAGACGATGGTTAGGCATGCGCAGCACGTGGCCTAACCATCTTAATCTATGTAACTTTATAGCCTCTTCGAGTGATTTTCCCTCTTTGCCCAACACTCTACGCCTAACGTCAACATTACTTACCTTATTATACCACCTAACGCGAGAAAGAGATCGTAAACATCTGTGGTCAAAAACAGACAATCTCTTCATGTCTTCCGCTCTCAATGGCCACGTCTCACCGCCATAGAGAAGGACGGAGCGAACTGCTGAGCAGTATACACGTCCCTTGGTTGACAGTCGGATGTCACGCCTACGCCAGAGACGGTGTAAGTTAGCGAAAGCAGCCCTAGCTTTCTGGATCCGTGCTGTGATTTCGTCACCAATCAATCCGTTGGTGCTGATACAACTTCCTAAATAGGTGAAGTGGTCAACATGTTCTATCACTTCATTCCCTATCACTAAGCTTGGAGTTGACGTAGTCCAGTCCTGTAGCAGCATCTTACATTTTGCAGGGGCGAATCGCATGCCAAACATACGAAGATTGCTGCTCAAGGTGTTCAGAAGACTCTGCATTTTGTCAGCGTCCTCCCCTAACAGGACTATGTCGTCTGCGTATTCTAAGTCTATAAGACTATTCCCTGGTAACAAGTCGATTCCTAAGTCGTTACGTTCGGTTAAGGATACTTCCATTAGCATATCTATGATGAAGTTAAACAGAAAAGGGGAAAGTGGACATCCCTCACGGACACCACTGGTTGTTATCAATTCAGATGACAATTCCCCATAAGCCCTTAAACAGCTACGTGAGTTTGAGTAGAGTGCCTTGATTAGTGCAATGTATTTTCTTGGCACTCCCTTCATAGTCAAACATTGCCATAGAACCTCTCGATCCACGGAGTCGAAGGCCGCCTTCAAGTCAAGAAATATGGCAATTGCTGGACGCCTAACAGTGTGCCTCCATTATGGGTAAATTTTTATTTTGATAGAGTCTCACAGTGTTATACAGTAATATTTACTGATGACGTTTCGAGCACAATTTATTGCTCATAATCATATCAAGGTAATCACACGACTTCCTAAATTCATTTATATAGTTCCATTGTTTTTCACTTGATTTTCACTTGATTTGACACAGCTAATTATTCATTCTTCACATTTTTCTTGTTGATATTTTCACACAACATGGACATGGGGTTATTATCTGATAACAACACAGATATAGTCATAATCAAAACTGAAAATAAGAAACATTAAACAATTAAAATGAAAAGAAAAACTTACACATGTAAAAATTTCTAGTTCTTCTTTATACAGCATTCTCAGAAAGACAGGGTGAGCAAAATCTTCATTGAAAGACTCATTCGAATTTTCTACTTCTCTTAACGTCTACAATATTTGAAATGATCACAATGATTAAGAATTTCATTAATCGATGTGTCTCAAATAGTCTAGTCATCAGAAAGAATTTAGTTGGACACAGCAACCTTGGAAGATATACGCGGCATATTTCCAGATTTTAGCTGAGACAAGCTTACACATATCTACGCTAAAAATCACTTTAGCTTGACTGATTCCTTTACTCAGATTTTGCATTTCTTAATTCTACAATCAATCGTAAGTCGAATTAATTCGATTTTCGCGTGTATCTTCAAAGTATACAGACAGTGTTGCGCCGCGATTCTATGCTAAGAAAATATTACCGTCAAACAACAGGAACTACATTGTAATGTTAACACTATAATAGACGGGAGTAATTTTCGCCTAACAATTCCCCTCTGAAGACTATATCAGGTAGCTCGATGCATACATGATACCTCACAAATACTGAAGCGTTTATCTGTTTTAGAAAAAAAAAACTATATTCCCTGCCTGTCTCAGTGTAATTTAGTGTGCTTCGATTTCTTTTCTTTCTTGGAGCTGTCAAGTTTCAGTAATGATGTTGTTTTCACTGCGTGAGTTTACTGGCCTCACACCTAACTTTACATCTTTTTCGGTCTTACTACCTGCTATGCAAAATCTAAGCGTGAGTCGGCTAGTAGTCAAACCAGAACCTCATGCGTAGCCTGAGTGCATTTATTTCACCATTGAACAACGAACACCGGTAATTCTGCCAGGAAAAGAAAGCAAGAGAAAACATGCTGAATAATTAATTCTTCAACCAGTTCCTAAAGTTTTCGACTTAAATATGGACTGTTTATTATTCGGTGATTTATTACACAGAGCCCTGTATCTGTATCCAGGATATTTCAAAAATAATCGAAATAAATTTAGAACTATTGCATGAGAAAAAGAGAAACTCTAGGTGGATATTAAAAGTGAAACGGCTCTGTGCATGCAATGAATCGCATTCGATACAGTCAGTAGCACACACGCAAACACACACACACACATACGCTTCCTTATACCACCAAAGTAGGCAATTAACCACCGAATCAACCGAAACTCATCAGAAGAAACATAAACTGTCAACTAGAAAATAAGCAACACCGTGGCAATAACTAAATCGCTTGAAGGCGGCAACTGAACTCAACGACTTACCGAATACGATTACGCTCAGTAGATACGTTCAACTCCTTCAATGGAATACGCTTTCTTATTCTGGGTGAAGCTTTAGATGATGACTGTGAGCTACTCGGGGATTTACCAGAATCTGAAATCTTAAGCGACTTGCTTGCATTAGATGCTCGAAGACGCTTAGCTATTGGCTGATGGTCTTCGCCAATAGCTAAGCGTCTTCGAGCATCTAATGCAAGCAAGTCGCTTAAGATTTCAGATTCTGGTAAATCCCCGAGTAGCTCACAGTCATCATCTAAAGCTTCACCCAGAATAAGAAAGCGTATTCCATTGAAGGAGTTGAACGTATCTACTGAGCGTAATCGTATTCGGTAAGTCGTTGAGTTCAGTTGCCGCCTTCAAGCGATTTAGTTATTGCCACGGTGTTGCTTATTTTCTAGTTGACAGTTTATGTTTCTTCTGATGAGTTTCGGTTGATTCGGTGGTTAATTGCCTACTTTGGTGGTATAAGGAAGCGTATGTGTGTGTGTGTTTGCGTGTGTGCTACTGACTGTATCGAATGCGATTCATTGCATGCACAGAGCCGTTTCACTTTTAATATCCACCTAGAGTTTCTCTTTTTCTCATGCAATAGTTCTAAATTTATTTCGATTATTTTTGAAATATCCTGGATACAGATACAGGGCTCTGTGTAATAAATCACCGAATAATAAACAGTCCATATTTAAGTCGAAAACTTTAGGAACTGGTTGAAGAATTAATTATTCAGCATGTTTTCTCTTGCTTTCTTTTCCTGGCAGAATTACCGGTGTTCGTTGTTCAATGGTGAAATAAATGCACTCAGGCTACGCATGAGGTTCTGGTTTGACTACTAGCCGACTCACGCTTAGATTTTGCATAGCAGGTAGTAAGACCGAAAAAGATGTAAAGTTAGGTGTGAGGCCAGTAAACTCACGCAGTGAAAACAACATCATTACTGAAACTTGACAGCTCCAAGAAAGAAAAGAAATCGAAGCACACTAAATTACACTGAGACAGGCAGGGAATATAGTTTTTTTTTCTAAAACAGATAAACGCTTCAGTATTTGTGAGGTATCATGTATGCATCGAGCTACCTGATATAGTCTTCAGAGGGGAATTGTTAGGCGAAAATTACTCCCGTCTATTATAGTGTTAACATTACAATGTAGTTCCTGTTGTTTGACGGTAATATTTTCTTAGCATAGAATCGCGGCGCAACACTGTCTGTATACTTTGAAGATACACGCGAAAATCGAATTAATTCGACTTACGATTGATTGTAGAATTAAGAAATGCAAAATCTGAGTAAAGGAATCAGTCAAGCTAAAGTGATTTTTAGCGTAGATATGTGTAAGCTTGTCTCAGCTAAAATCTGGAAATATGCCGCGTATATCTTCCAAGGTTGCTGTGTCCAACTAAATTCTTTCTGATGACTAGACTATTTGAGACACATCGATTAATGAAATTCTTAATCATTGTGATCATTTCAAATATTGTAGACGTTAAGAGAAGTAGAAAATTCGAATGAGTCTTTCAATGAAGATTTTGCTCACCCTGTCTTTCTGAGAATGCTGTATAAAGAAGAACTAGAAATTTTTACATGTGTAAGTTTTTCTTTTCATTTTAATTGTTTAATGTTTCTTATTTTCAGTTTTGATTATGACTATATCTGTGTTGTTATCAGATAATAACCCCATGTCCATGTTGTGTGAAAATATCAACAAGAAAAATGTGAAGAATGAATAATTAGCTGTGTCAAATCAAGTGAAAATCAAGTGAAAAACAATGGAACTATATAAATGAATTTAGGAAGTCGTGTGATTACCTTGATATGATTATGAGCAATAAATTGTGCTCGAAACGTCATCAGTAAATATTACTGTATAACACTGTGAGACTCTATCAAAATAAAAATTTACCCATAATGGAGGCACACTGTTAGGCGTCCAGCAATTGCCATATTTCTTGACTTGAAGGCGGCCTTCGACTCCGTGGATCGAGAGGTTCTATGGCAATGTTTGACTATGAAGGGAGTGCCAAGAAAATACATTGCACTAATCAAGGCACTCTACTCAAACTCACGTAGCTGTTTAAGGGCTTATGGGGAATTGTCATCTGAATTGATAACAACCAGTGGTGTCCGTGAGGGATGTCCACTTTCCCCTTTTCTGTTTAACTTCATCATAGATATGCTAATGGAAGTATCCTTAACCGAACGTAACGACTTAGGAATCGACTTGTTACCAGGGAATAGTCTTATAGACTTAGAATACGCAGACGACATAGTCCTGTTAGGGGAGGACGCTGACAAAATGCAGAGTCTTCTGAACACCTTGAGCAGCAATCTTCGTATGTTTGGCATGCGATTCGCCCCTGCAAAATGTAAGATGCTGCTACAGGACTGGACTACGTCAACTCCAAGCTTAGTGATAGGGAATGAAGTGATAGAACATGTTGACCACTTCACCTATTTAGGAAGTTGTATCAGCACCAACGGATTGATTGGTGACGAAATCACAGCACGGATCCAGAAAGCTAGGGCTGCTTTCGCTAACTTACACCGTCTCTGGCGTAGGCGTGACATCCGACTGTCAACCAAGGGACGTGTATACTGCTCAGCAGTTCGCTCCGTCCTTCTCTATGGCGGTGAGACGTGGCCATTGAGAGCGGAAGACATGAAGAGATTGTCTGTTTTTGACCACAGATGTTTACGATCTCTTTCTCGCGTTAGGTGGTATAATAAGGTAAGTAATGTTGACGTTAGGCGTAGAGTGTTGGGCAAAGAGGGAAAATCACTCGAAGAGGCTATAAAGTTACATAGATTAAGATGGTTAGGCCACGTGCTGCGCATGCCTAACCATCGTCTCCCCCGACGGGCATTACTAGCTGATATAGGTGCAGGTTGGAAAAGAGTAAGTGGTGGCCAAACAAAAACATGGCATCAGTCCATGAAATCCTTGACAGTTAAACTGGGTCAGGTAGGGAGATGCAGACTTCCGGGTTGGGGCCCTCGGGACTCTAAGAATCAATGGCTGGAGACAATAGGTGACATGGCTCAAAATCGTTGTCAGTGGCGCAGATGTATACAGTCTCTGTAATCTTTCATATTCCTTTCTACCATTACTCATTCTCTTTCACTCTTATACTTGTCAAAACTCTATTGATTCTCTTCACTCATCTTCTTGTCTACCTTTGTGTGCTACTTGGAACGTGGCAACTCGAACTCTGCACTTCGGTGCCAAGTTCTGTGTGGAATCCAGACAGACAGAGACAGAATTATCATTCGTTAGGACTTTCAAATTTGTCCTCGATAGGTCTATATTATAATAACCCTCAAAATAAGACACTCAGAGGAACGTCAATGAGGTTTGGAGATATTAGGGGGAAACTGACGTTTTGAATAAACAGGGATTATATGCCTTTTTCTGTTACGTCTCCAAATTTCTCCAGTTATTTACTATTTCCTTTTAAAGGCTTCTCATCTTTCCTCATAATATCTATGTGGGTATAATCGACACACGTTTGTTTCATGTTTTCCTCTAGAGACTAGTTTTGGCGTCACTTTACGATAATAAACATTAGATGTAAAATCAAACAACTATCTCTAAATGGGACTCCAATATTCTGTTAATATCTTTTCTCTATGAAAGTGGTGTCTTTTGCTATGAGCAGTCCATTTGCTTTTTAGTATTTCAAACAAAAGAAAGTTAATGTGCCTTATATTAAGTTAACGGTTATCCACTTTAAGCTCCTGAAGTGGTTAGGATGTTATATATTTTTAGGTTTGATAGTTGATATAACTCTAGTAAGTGATGTCGAAATTCGAGATGAGGAAATGGGCCTAAATGCTTTCTCTTATACTCGTATACGATATTGAAAGGTGTTTTGCGTAATTAAATTATCGAATTCACATTTCGAATGGAAGACGTGTAAAAGTCTGGACATCAATCCCTGTTTTTAGGTAGATAATATAGCTCTTAACTTGTCAAGAAGCTTTGTGAATTCATAAGGTCCTAAGAAATGCATGGCATTTCACTGGCTATACAGATAATTACAACTAGGAGAAATCGTGATAGTCACATGTGTCACTGTGAACTGCAACCTATTCTCTTCTCTGATTTGGCTACCTAAAATATGCTTAGATTTTATTTTCTATAGTTTGGTTTGTAAGGGTTAGTTATATTTTTATGAGTTGATCACGGATTGATATCAGTTAGAGAAGCATTGGAAACCAGGGAGTACTGGACAGCTGTTCTATCCTAATTGGGAATCATCGCCAGTACTCACCCAACACCAGGCTTTGAACACAAGGCAAGCTCGTATACCACTCAGCCACTGGGACCCGATTCATTGGCTAGCTCAAGAATTCTAACTTCTACCAATTCGTGATTTAGCGCGACCCCAACCATTGTCGTCTGTGGGACATCCATCCTCATACGAGTTTGCCTCGTAACTGGAAGGTCCTGAGTTCGAATTCCAGTGGGTGCGTACTGCCGATGATTCCCAAACTAGGATGAAACAGCTGATAGATTTTATTGTTTACATTTATATTACATATCACTTAGAACGTTCTCAAAAGTATGTAAAGTAATGAATTCAACCTTTCTAATTGAAGAATATCTAGGAAGTTGATTTCCTCTTCTCTTAAACCCTTAAAAGTGCCAACTGTTTTCATTTGTTGTGCTGATCTTCCCGCCTCGTGTTTCGTTATGTGATAGACAGACCCAACTGATCTGAGCGATGCATGTTTATCAGGTTCATAGACAATAGTTGCTACAAATAGTCTTGTTACGTATTCATCTACCAGGATTTCCGTTGATTCTAAGGTTGATAAACGCGATTTTTCATTTCCTTTGTCTACATTCGTTTCACTTATTTCTCAACTGTTAGGCTGGCAACAAAGTTCTTTCAAGTTATATAACTTTGAATCATTCTTATTACTTACATTATTCTTCAGGTAAACACAAAGTATATGAATTAAAAGTCAATCTGAACGAAGAATATTCTTTTCAATAATTTCTCTTCAGGTTCTTACAATTATAAAATATAATATTTGTTGTCGTTACAATAAAGGCCAGTTATGTGGCAGATACATTTTTAACGTAGAATAACAGATTAGTTATGGGGGAAATTAATTGCATAAAAAGCTCGATCCTGTCACACTTGGTCGATACTGGACATCATATCGATGTCAACACAGCTTTCAGGGTTATATACCGAATTCCGAAGTCGTTATCACGTACAGTTCGCTTACGTCTTCTACACATAGCTGAAGCTGTTGCAATAAGATCGACTAAACCGGATCAAAAGCTTTTCGGTTTACTTTAACTGGTTTAATTAGTTGAAGTATTGTTTTTGTGCACTTTTGTAACGTTTTGTGTGGTTTTTATGTCTCTGTGTTCAGGTAAATATATTTGTCTGTAATTTAAACAACTTATACCGACATGACACTCACGTATAGTTGTGGACAACCGGACTACCGCTTCGGGTGGATAATGGGATACAGTATGATAACTGAAACCTAAGACTTCATAAAGTTTGCACTGGCTTACAAACCTAAGCCTATAGGGGATGCGGCAAGCCATCGTCTCCGTGCAGTGTGCAAATTTTGTAACACCTCAAATGAGGGGAAAATGCCAGCATCTGGAAACTATGCCATAAATGGTGATTCTGGACTGAGTTATAAGACTGAGAGAGAACCACATCCTCAAGCTTTGAAAGACAACAAAGGTACGATGTTCCCAAAAGTCTGCGACAGTACGCAAAATGTCCAGAAAACCTAAGAAGACAAGCAGTACCAACATTGTAAGATTTGGGTGTGTTGCGTGTTTGGTGAACGCATGGCTTCCAACTGTGGCGAAAGCAAAGTGGAAGTATCTAATTTCACTTGCTTAGTGCCGAAAAATAAGAAGCTGGAGAACTACAGGAAAGAGAAAAAGACTGGGCTTAGTGATAAGGTCTCGATGGCCGGAAACTTTCGGACTCAAATTACAGAATCGTAATTTGGAACTTAAAGGAGTCAAAGAAAGTAGATCCAGCTGCCTCACATATTGATGATCTCTAGGTAGTTGGCTCCATCATTCGTGGAGTACTTCCTGAAAAACAAAAGGAGTACACATAAAAGTCATCAGAATCGGTAAACGAAATGCCGATGCAACGGAAAGCTACCCACGACTGCTGATAACCGTACTGGGGAACGAGACGAAGAAAAGCATTATTCTCAGCAACGCATTCAAGATCGGGGACAAAAAGATGAGAATAAGGCCCAATTGGCCTTCGGAAGATAGAATTAAGGGAAGAGAAGCCGTGGCTGAATTAAGGGCCAGACTAGAAAAAGGTGAAAAAGACCTTAAACTGTTGGCTTTTCGGGTATTGAAGTCTCGGAAACCTATGTTAACCAGACCTCTGTTCATAAGTCTAGTGAACATGTTAGGTCTCTCAGTATGCTGTAAGAACGCGTAAAGTCGTAGGAATAAGTTTCCTGAACTAGAAGTGTTGTCTGAAGGACTAGGACCTGGTGTGATTGCTATCACTGAAACATGGTTGTTAGTGGGTGTAGACTTAACTCCACTGATACCTGCGTACATCTGCATTAGAGCAAACAGAGTAATTAGTTGGAAAAATGGTAGGGTTGCCCTATGCATCCGGGATAACATAGGAATTAGATGAACGTTGTTGGAAGCTCATGACAATGGCACTAGTAAAGCAGAAAGCTGTGTTATTAACTTGAACAAGGGCACTGTGACAATTGAGGTTATTTATAAAAGTACTGCCAGCCAGCTGATATAGGGCTAGGCTGGAAGAGCTAGCGGTGGTCAAACGAAAACATGGCACCAGTCAATGAAATCCACAACAGTTAGTCTAAGCCACGTAGGAAGATGTAGACTTCCTGGTTGGGGTCCTCGGGATGGTAAAAACCAATGGTTGGAAACAATTGGTGACTTGGCTCAAAATCGTTCTCAGTGGCGCAGATGCATCCACTCCTTGTGACTTATGATTTCCAATTAAACTTTTTTGTTCTCCGTTAATACTATTCCTTTGTCTCACACGTCTGTTTACTGTCTCTGTTATGCATTTCTTCTACTTTCTTCTCATGCTTTGTGTGCTACATGGATTGTGGCGACTTGAACTGCCGCACATATGTGCAAAGTTCTATGTCGAAAACCGACCGACCGACCGACTGCCAGTCAAGCTGACGATTTAGTACTAAATCACCTCAGGACGTGGAGTAGTAGAAATAGGTGTCTAATAGTAGGTGACTTTGGTGCCCTACATATTAATTGGGAGAAATTAACATCAACTACTTTGTATACTTGTTTCAATTGGGAACTCATACTGACAGTGCTTGAATGCGCACTTGTGCAGTATATAGATGCACCAACATGATCCGTCCACTATAGACTTGGTGCTAACACATCAGAAGGAGGATGGTAGTGGTTGGCAAAGGCGAAAGAGATGGAAAAAGCATCGGCGATAGGCAACACTAGGCAACTCTTTAGACTCATCAGGGAAACGGGTGGGAGAAGGCAAATCATAATTGAGACTGTGAGAAAAATGGCTCCTTAATTAGCTCTCAGGATAGACGCCTCGAACGCTGGAAAGAACACTTCGAGGAACAGTTTAACTTGCCTACAGCCACACTGAGCCTCCCCGCCATCCAGCACACACCCGAATGGGACATAGACACTGGCCCGCCGTCTGTAAGTGAGGTCACCAAAGCTATCTGTAATTTGAAACGAGGCAAAGCGGCAGGACCCGACGGAATTATTCCGGAGGTGTTTAAATATGGGGGTGACACACTAGTATATAGTTTAACTAAGGTACTAGGTAACGTCTGGGAATCAGAGACGGTTCCATCAGACTGGGGTAAGTCACTTATCATACCAGTATTCAAGAAGGGAGATAAGTCCTCATGTGATAATCATAGAGGAATCAGCCTAACGAACATAGTCTCTAAAATCCTAGGCTCAGTAATCATGAACAGACTAAGCCGAACTCGGGAGGAACAAACGAGGGAAAATCAAGCGGGCTTTAGGCCAGGTAGAGGGCGCATAGATCATATCTTCACTCTCCGACAGATCCTAGAACATAGGCACACTTTTATTGATATAAGAATAAAACTTGGGCACTGTGGTAGAGTGTAATTCCATTATGGGTAAATTTTTATTTTGATAGAGTCTCACAGTGTTATACAGTAATATTTACTGATGACGTTTCGAGCACAATTTATTGCTCATAATCATATCAAGGTAATCACACGACTTCCTAAATTCATTTATATAGTTCCATTGTTTTTCACTTGATTTTCACTTGATTTGACACAGCTAATTATTCATTCTTCACATTTTTCTTGTTGATATTTTCACACAACATGGACATGGGGTTATTATCTGATAACAACACAGATATAGTCATAATCAAAACTGAAAATAAGAAACATTAAACAATTAAAATGAAAAGAAAAACTTACACATGTAAAAATTTCTAGTTCTTCTTTATACAGCATTCTCAGAAAGACAGGGTGAGCAAAATCTTCATTGAAAGACTCATTCGAATTTTCTACTTCTCTTAACGTCTACAATATTTGAAATGATCACAATGATTAAGAATTTCATTAATCGATGTGTCTCAAATAGTCTAGTCATCAGAAAGAATTTAGTTGGACACAGCAACCTTGGAAGATATACGCGGCATATTTCCAGATTTTAGCTGAGACAAGCTTACACATATCTACGCTAAAAATCACTTTAGCTTGACTGATTCCTTTACTCAGATTTTGCATTTCTTAATTCTACAATCAATCGTAAGTCGAATTAATTCGATTTTCGCGTGTATCTTCAAAGTATACAGACAGTGTTGCGCCGCGATTCTATGCTAAGAAAATATTACCGTCAAACAACAGGAACTACATTGTAATGTTAACACTATAATAGACGGGAGTAATTTTCGCCTAACAATTCCCCTCTGAAGACTATATCAGGTAGCTCGATGCATACATGATACCTCACAAATACTGAAGCGTTTATCTGTTTTAGAAAAAAAAAACTATATTCCCTGCCTGTCTCAGTGTAATTTAGTGTGCTTCGATTTCTTTTCTTTCTTGGAGCTGTCAAGTTTCAGTAATGATGTTGTTTTCACTGCGTGAGTTTACTGGCCTCACACCTAACTTTACATCTTTTTCGGTCTTACTACCTGCTATGCAAAATCTAAGCGTGAGTCGGCTAGTAGTCAAACCAGAACCTCATGCGTAGCCTGAGTGCATTTATTTCACCATTGAACAACGAACACCGGTAATTCTGCCAGGAAAAGAAAGCAAGAGAAAACATGCTGAATAATTAATTCTTCAACCAGTTCCTAAAGTTTTCGACTTAAATATGGACTGTTTATTATTCGGTGATTTATTACACAGAGCCCTGTATCTGTATCCAGGATATTTCAAAAATAATCGAAATAAATTTAGAACTATTGCATGAGAAAAAGAGAAACTCTAGGTGGATATTAAAAGTGAAACGGCTCTGTGCATGCAATGAATCGCATTCGATACAGTCAGTAGCACACACGCAAACACACACACACATACGCTTCCTTATACCACCAAAGTAGGCAATTAACCACTGAATCAACCGAAACTCATCAGAAGAAACATAAACTGTCAACTAGAAAATAAGCAACACCGTGGCAATAACTAAATCGCTTGAAGGCGGCAGCTGAACTCAACGACTTACCGAATACGATTACGCTCAGTAGATACGTTCAACTCCTTCAATGGAATACGCTTTCTTATTCTGGGTGAAGCTTTAGATGATGACTGTGAGCTACTCGGGGATTTACCAGAATCTGAAATCTTAAGCGACTTGCTTGCATTAGATGCTCGAAGACGCTTAGCTATTGGCTGATGGTCTTCGCCAATAGCTAAGCGTCTTCGAGCATCTAATGCAAGCAAGTCGCTTAAGATTTCAGATTCTGGTAAATCCCCGAGTAGCTCACAGTCATCATCTAAAGCTTCACCCAGAATAAGAAAGCGTATTCCATTGAAGGAGTTGAACGTATCTACTGAGCGTAATCGTATTCGGTAAGTCGTTGAGTTCAGCTGCCGCCTTCAAGCGATTTAGTTATTGCCACGGTGTTGCTTATTTTCTAGTTGACAGTTTATGTTTCTTCTGATGAGTTTCGGTTGATTCGGTGGTTAATTGCCTACTTTGGTGGTATAAGGAAGCGTATGTGTGTGTGTTTGCGTGTGTGCTACTGACTGTATCGAATGCGATTCATTGCATGCACAGAGCCGTTTCACTTTTAATATCCACCTAGAGTTTCTCTTTTTCTCATGCAATAGTTCTAAATTTATTTCGATTATTTTTGAAATATCCTGGATACAGATACAGGGCTCTGTGTAATAAATCACCGAATAATAAACAGTCCATATTTAAGTCGAAAACTTTAGGAACTGGTTGAAGAATTAATTATTCAGCATGTTTTCTCTTGCTTTCTTTTCCTGGCAGAATTACCGGTGTTCGTTGTTCAATGGTGAAATAAATGCACTCAGGCTACGCATGAGGTTCTGGTTTGACTACTAGCCGACTCACGCTTAGATTTTGCATAGCAGGTAGTAAGACCGAAAAAGATGTAAAGTTAGGTGTGAGGCCAGTAAACTCACGCAGTGAAAACAACATCATTACTGAAACTTGACAGCTCCAAGAAAGAAAAGAAATCGAAGCACACTAAATTACACTGAGACAGGCAGGGAATATAGTTTTTTTTTTCTAAAACAGATAAACGCTTCAGTATTTGTGAGGTATCATGTATGCATCGAGCTACCTGATATAGTCTTCAGAGGGGAATTGTTAGGCGAAAATTACTCCCGTCTATTATAGTGTTAACATTACAATGTAGTTCCTGTTGTTTGACGGTAATATTTTCTTAGCATAGAATCGCGGCGCAACACTGTCTGTATACTTTGAAGATACACGCGAAAATCGAATTAATTCGACTTACGATTGATTGTAGAATTAAGAAATGCAAAATCTGAGTAAAGGAATCAGTCAAGCTAAAGTGATTTTTAGCGTAGATATGTGTAAGCTTGTCTCAGCTAAAATCTGGAAATATGCCGCGTATATCTTCCAAGGTTGCTGTGTCCAACTAAATTCTTTCTGATGACTAGACTATTTGAGACACATCGATTAATGAAATTCTTAATCATTGTGATCATTTCAAATATTGTAGACGTTAAGAGAAGTAGAAAATTCGAATGAGTCTTTCAATGAAGATTTTGCTCACCCTGTCTTTCTGAGAATGCTGTATAAAGAAGAACTAGAAATTTTTACATGTGTAAGTTTTTCTTTTCATTTTAATTGTTTAATGTTTCTTATTTTCAGTTTTGATTATGACTATATCTGTGTTGTTATCAGATAATAACCCCATGTCCATGTTGTGTGAAAATATCAACAAGAAAAATGTGAAGAATGAATAATTAGCTGTGTCAAATCAAGTGAAAATCAAGTGAAAAACAATGGAACTATATAAATGAATTTAGGAAGTCGTGTGATTACCTTGATATGATTATGAGCAATAAATTGTGCTCGAAACGTCATCAGTAAATATTACTGTATAACACTGTGAGACTCTATCAAAATAAAAATTTACCCATAATGGAATTACACTCTACCACAGTGCCCAAGTTTTATTCTTATATCAATAAAAGTGTGCCTATGTTCTAGGATCTGTCGGAGAGTGAAGATATGATCTATGCGCCCTCTACCTGGCCTAAAGCCCGCTTGATTTTCCCTCGTTTGTTCCTCCCGAGTTCGGCTTAGTCTGTTCATGATTACTGAGCCTAGGATTTTAGAGACTATGTTCGTTAGGCTGATTCCTCTATGATTATCACATGAGGACTTATCTCCCTTCTTGAATACTGGTATGATAAGTGACTTACCCCAGTCTGATGGAACCGTCTCTGATTCCCAGACGTTACCTAGTACCTTAGTTAAACTATATACTAGTGTGTCACCCCCATATTTAAACACCTCCGGAATAATTCCGTCGGGTCCTGCCGCTTTGCCTCGTTTCAAATTACAGATAGCTTTGGTGACCTCACTTACAGACGGCGGGCCAGTGTCTATGTCCCATTCGGGTGTGTGCTGGATGGCGGGGAGGCTCAGTGTGGCTGTAGGCAAGTTAAACTGTTCCTCGAAGTGTTCTTTCCAGCGTTCGAGGCGTCTATCCTGAGAGCTAATTAAGGAGCCATTTTTCTCACAGTCTCAATTATGATTTGCCTTCTCCCACCCGTTTCCCTGATGAGTCTAAAGAGTTGCCTAGTGTTGCCTATCGCCGATGCTTTTTCCATCTCTTTCGCCTTTGCCAACCACTACCATCCTCCTTCTGATGTGTTAGCACCAAGTCTATAGTGGACGGATCATGTTGGTGCATCTATATACTGCACAAGTGCGCATTCAAGCACTGTCAGTATGAGTTCCCAATTGAAACAAGTATACAAAGTAGTTGATGTTAATTTCTCCCAATTAATATGTAGGGCACCAAAGTCACCTACTATTAGACACCTATTTCTACTACTCCACGTCCTGAGGTGATTTAGTACTAAATCGTCAGCTTGACTGGCAGTCGGTCGGTCGGTCGGTTTTCGACATAGAACTTTGCACATATGTGCGGCAGTTCAAGTCGCCACAATCCATGTAGCACACAAAGCATGAGAAGAAAGTAGAAGAAATGCATAACAGAGACAGTAAACAGACGTGTGAGACAAAGGAATAGTATTAACGGAGAACAAAAAAGTTTAATTGGAAATCATAAGTCACAAGGAGTGGATGCATCTGCGCCACTGAGAACGATTTTGAGCCAAGTCACCAATTGTTTCCAACCATTGGTTTTTACCATCCCGAGGACCCCAACCAGGAAGTCTACATCTTCCTACGTGGCTTAGACTAACTGTTGTGGATTTCATTGACTGGTGCCATGTTTTCGTTTGACCACCGCTAGCTCTTCCAGCCTAGCCCTATATCAGCTGGCTGGCAGTACTTTTATAAATAACCTCAATTGTCACAGTGCCCTTGTTCAAGTTAATAACACAGCTTTCTGCTTTACTAGTGCCATTGTCATGAGCTTCCAACAACGTTCATCTAATTCCTATGTTATCCCGGATGCATAGGGCAACCCTACCATTTTTCCAACTAATTACTCTGTTTGCTCTAATGCAGATGTACGCAGGTATCAGTGGAGTTAAGTCTACACCCACTAACAACCATGTTTCAGTGATAGCAATCACACCAGGTCCTAGTCCTTCAGACAACACTTCTAGTTCAGGAAACTTATTCCTACGACTTTACGCGTTCTTACAGCATACTGAGAGACCTAACATGTTCACTAGACTTATGAACAGAGGTCTGGTTAACATAGGTTTCCGAGACTTCAATACCCGAAAAGCCAACAGTTTAAGGTCTTTTTCACCTTTTTCTAGTCTGGCCCTTAATTCAGCCACGGCTTCTCTTCCCTTAATTCTATCTTCCGAAGGCCAATTGGGCCTTATTCTCATCTTTTTGTCCCCGATCTTGAATGCGTTGCTGAGAATAATGCTTTTCTTCGTCTCGTTCCCCAGTACGGTTATCAGCAGTCGTGGGTAGCTTTCCGTTGCATCGGCATTTCGTTTACCGATTCTGATGACTTTTATGTGTACTCCTTTTGTTTTTCAGGAAGTACTCCACGAATGATGGAGCCAACTACCTAGAGATCATCAATATGTGAGGCAGCTGGATCTACTTTCTTTGACTCCTTTAAGTTCCAAATTACGATTCTGAAATTTGAGTCCGAAAGTTTCCGGCCATCGAGACCTTATCACTTAGCCCAGTCTTTTTCTCTTTCCTGTAGTTCTCCAGCTTCTTATTTTTCGGCACTAAGCAAGTGAAATTAGATACTTCCACTTTGCTTTCGCCACAGTTGGAAGCCATGCGTTCACCAAACACGCAACACACCCAAATCTTACAATGTTGGTACTGCTTGTCTTCTTAGGTTTTCTGGACATTTTGCGTACTGTCGCAGACTTTTGGGAACATCGTACCTTTGTTGTCTTTCAAAGCTTGAGGATGTGGTTCTCTCTCAGTCTTATAACTCAGTCCAGAATCACCATTTATGGCATAGTTTCCAGATGCTGGCATTTTCCCCTCATTTGAGGTGTTACAAAATTTGCACACTGCACGGAGACGATGGCTTGCCGCATCCCCTATAGGCTTAGGTTTGTAAGCCAGTGCAAACTTTATGAAGTCTTAGGTTTCAGTTATCATACTGTATCCCATTATCCACCCGAAGCGGTAGTCCGGTTGTCCACAACTATACGTGAGTGTCATGTCGGTATAAGTTGTTTAAATTACAGACAAATATATTTACCTGAACACAGAGACATAAAAACCACACAAAACGTTACAAAAGTGCACAAAAACAATACTTCAACTAATTAAACCAGTTAAAGTAAACCGAAAAGCTTTTGATCCCATTTACGTTAATAGGATCAGGAGCTTTTCGTTGTTTACACAACAAGAGCAGAAGTTACCCATTCGGAAAAATGTGTGGAGTAAAAGGTGACATTTCTGAGAAAATGAAAAAGAGGCAATTCTTTTTCAAAGGGGGAAAATCAATTAATATATACTTCACAACAAAAAAATGCCACTCTGCTTTTTCACCTTAGCAAATATTTCACCTAGAAATTCGCTAGGCTCATAAGAAGAAGAATTGATTTATTCGTTTTGGATATTTAACTTTTTTAAAGGCAAAAACGTGGTGTACTAAAACGTACATTTAATGGAAAGAGTATTTGCACCAACAGGATCCTCACAAAGTAACTCAAATGACATACATGGCGCTGTAATATTGGAAATTCAAGATTCAAGTTTTAGGGATCACAAGAGTATTCTGGGGTTCCCACTCCATATTTTATCATGTTTAGCGAAATATAATGAATGGAACGACAATTCTACGTCCGTCACTCCTCCATTTTATTCGTATATTTGTACGTCAAACTGCGGCCTAAATCACTAGGCTCTCAAACCCCTATCCATCAATATGCTCAGACGCTTCTGCATCTCTTATGGTTTTACTAACGCAGTTCTATCAGATGATCATTATATGGGTCTTCACACACATTTAAACGCTGTGGTAGAAATGAAGAAAGAATTTATTCACTAAGTAACCATGTCGAAACTCCTGTATTTCCTCATGTCATAACATCTCCAAATTCTGTGAGTTTCGATTTAAGTAAATATCTTAACGTGTATATCTTTCTGAGTTCATAAATACAGATTTCGGAATGTGTGTTCACCCCCAAGTTATTGATTTCAACCATGGAACAATTCATAATCTAACTCAATTGTGCTTCTGTGTATCTATCATGTTCAACAGCTTTCTTAGTGAAAGGAATTGAGTCATTATAAAAAGCTTAATGAAAGCATCCACAAACGAGTGCAAGATGCCGAATCAAATAAATATGATCCATTCACACAGTTATATAATGATGCGGGCTCATACCTACGATTTTAGTGACACGCAACTCTATAATATAAGAAGCGGGCCCTCTGGAAACTATTAACTTGTAGGATATAAAGAAAGTTAATAATGATATTATTTTATTCACATAAATAAAGCATTCAGGTGATTGACACACTGAAGTTTGGTATTACATACTAACGGTTAGTTCATATTTATGGTAGTAATAAAAAAAGAAATAAGAGGGAAAAAAGGATGATGATTTTTCCCACCCAAATAGGGTAATACTGGGAAAAGATGCTGAAAAAGTTAAATCCAGTTTGCAGAGTACATCAAACATGTAGAAGAAAAACGGAAGTATAGTGATATTTATTCTATTGTTCTGATATACGCAGCTAGACGTCCTTCCGAAGTAGAGAAATCATACCACAAGCTTGTTTTCAGAGAGTTTATACACAAGCTGTCACATACAGTTTTTGATTTTCTTTTTGTTGAAGTTATTCAAACTCAAGAGCCTTATCAATAGAGCGCTTTACCACATGTAAGGGTGGTTCTCTTAAGTCCGCACTATCATATTTACTGAATAGTAGTCAGCACAACTCCCACCTTTTTAATCTGCTAGGCCCTGGTGAAATATTGCCTTTTTTAAAAACTGTGTTGCTGCGTCACATAGACTTCTTTCACATTCACTAGCTAACTCAATGAAATTCATGATATGAACGGCTAATTTCGGTCAACCATTTTGTATGTATCATCTCTAACAGCATTATAAAAATACATGTACAGTGAATATGCAAAGAAATCAAAAGTTTGTAGTCTACCTACTAGATTTTAGACATAAACTTATGAAAACTAAGGGGCGATATCAAAAGGTGCGGAAAACACTACACAGAGGTACATCTTAATATATGTGCATATGCATATGTATAACGCGGTACGTCCAACGTTTGCGTTACATTTTTGCGTGATTCGTTACATAAAATTTATCTTGTTGTAATCCTTGCACAAGTACTCTACTACCTCCATACCTATAACTATTAATTCTCATATCAAATAGTTATGGTTAACCAAAGTAAAAAGCAGCGAACTCAATCCCCTGTAAAACTGATGACTAATTTTAAGTCGTTGATTGCTACATCAAGCGACACACTTCCTACAAATGGTTATAGTGAGCCACATAACTCACTTGTATGTCGTAAGCGTCGAGCTGAAACTGAGGATAAAACTGTACTGACAGCTAGTATTAGCACTACTCCCAAAAATTCAGTACCCTCTGCTCATACAGAAACCCTCCCTACACCTTATGTGCTTATCGAAAAGCTCCAGCCTTCAAGCTCTGTTTCAGTACTATCTTCAGAAATAGAACTTCTAAAGTTGTCTATAGGAGAACTTAAGGCCGAGTTAAGGGACTTAAAAAACAATAAGTCAGTAAATCCTGGAATTTCCGATACCAATACCAAAATCTCCAATTTATCAGGTCAGATCAGTGATATCAGACTGCATGTCTGTGAACTGACACCTTTAACTATTCTCATGAAAACTGTAGACCTTAACAAACTTGACAGTGAATCGATATCTAAGGTGGATAACCTAATTAACTTTGTTACTACAGAAGTAACAAAACGACTAGATGCTAAATTAAATGCTATTGTCTACAACGTTCCGGACAATGAGGCACTAAAAAAGGTACAGCGCATCCTACTTAGTGAAGCGAAAATGCCCAACTCCAAGACTAAGTGCTATAGGCTGAAGAAGAGTCAACATGAAAAGTGTTGTCCTATTCGTTTTCAGTTCGAAACACTGGCAGAGGCCAGAAAATTCATCCACTCCCAACACACCCTATCGCAATCCAGAAATTACAAACTAATAAAGGTTGCGGTGGACAAGACCGTCATAGAAAGGCGCGTATACAATTACCACACTGAGTCTAATTGTGGAATAAACAATAGGACTTTGCAAGCAACAATTATACCCAACCCTTCGAGAGATACCGTAGAATCCACCGCACCACCCCTCTCTAACCACACAGAATTATCTTCTCAGAGAGCGACACCAACCGAAAGGCCGCTAAATTGTAATCAAATAGCCAACAAAACTATACCACCTACCACCGTAGATTTAGACATGTCACTAAATAATCCCGGAAAAAATTCAAAATCCCCCGAAATTCGACCCTGCCCTCTCCTAGCCATAAGTCCATTGGTAAAAAAAGGAGAATATGACCCTCAATCATGCCAACAACAACAATGGCAGTATAAGTAAGCCCACATTCCCCACGGTCAATAGTATTGGCACCCAAAACGTGCGAAATAGCACCATGGCACACACTGATAACCAACGCCACAACAATGCCACCCTCAATAGTAGAAGTGACAATAGTCAGAACTCGACCACCAACAACTCAGAGTATTCACAGTATGGCACACAAATAAATTTTGATCGGATATATGGTATAAGTCTGCTGGGAACTAACCAACAAAGCAGTACACACGAAATCCATACAAGGACACAACTAGTACCTAACAATAGGTGGAATAATAAACCATGGTCATCACAAGGTCCCAATCATTTTTTATCCCCTGCGTCCCTGCCAGCGTTGAGAAAACAGCTGGTAGGAATGTATTGCTCCTAAACCGCTAGTGCTGGCACCTCACTTGCATGAATACAGGAACAGTCTAGTTCACCCGCATCCATTAGGCACACTTGATACATGCACAAGTTCAGGTCAAATAAAGATCCCTACCCACGTTTCTAGCCTAACTAAAAATAAAAGTGCCTTAGCGGATAGCGAATACAGTACTCCAACTCCCAATTCTTCACCGAAAACAGCACACACCAACTCGGTAGACACAGGTGAGCATGATGTTGAAACTCCTCTTAACATAGGGTCGTCATGTCAAACAGTACTACTGGGTGCAGAACCATATTCGGGGCTGATTAACGAACTTAAGTACTTCAAATGCTATTTCAAATCTCATCTTTACCTAATCCTCATAAATGCTAGATCCGTTCTAAATAAACTACCGATGCTCAGAGCACTCACAGTAATATACAAACCCCCTATAATTGTCATCACTGAATCTTGGTGTACTTCGAACATACTGGATGAAGAGATAAGCTTAGATAACTATACACACTTTCGGTGTGACAGGGAAGGTGGTAAGGGAGGGGGTTGTCTTATGTACTTTCTGAATGCACTTACTGTATCACAGCTAGAAAGTAGTACACTTAACATGCCTGAGACTTTATGGGTTAACTTACACTTAAATAACGCAGTATTATTAATCGGATGCACCTGGCACCTTTAGTAATCGCGAGACCCAACCTAATAATACTCTGGAGCAATTATCCACCTTACAATACGATCATAAGATCCTATGTGGAGCCTTTAACTTACCAGAAATCAACTGGGAAATACCCACAGTTCCAACTAAACTTGATAAGTTCTTAGGCACACTGGATATACTTGGCTGGAAGCAGACTGTCACAACCCCTACAAGAGGCGATAACGTACTAGACTTAATCTTCTGCCACAATATAAGTCCCCTTTCTACCCTAGTAGGTTCTGAGTTTTCAGGGAGTGACCACAAAACAGTGCTGTGTGCACTGCCACTTCCGTCAAGTAGCAATGCAACCCATACCCCTACTTCACAACAAATAACTTACAGGAACTACAGTAAGGCAGACTGGACTCTAGTAAAATCAATGCTAAGATCCTCAGAATGGAGTGAGTACTTCTATACTGATAACCTCTCGATAGCTCCTAGCATCTTCTACCGTAACTCAAACACATGCTTAGATGCTGTCATTCCACTCCAAACACTGAAGGTTTTCACACATAGAAAGTCATTCATAAAACCAGAGGATCGTATGACACTGAAGGGACTCTCAGCAAGTTACTTCAAACACCACGACTTTGGCACACTAGGTTTAATACTTAACACCCTTAGCTCCATCTCACAAGCTCGTGATTTCCGTATGAGAGACGAAGAACGCATCGCAGTAGCCAGTCCTACTAGAGTGTATGCACTCACAGAAATCTTAGAGAAGCGAATGAAACGCGAAATTCACAGCATGTTTCTCCTCGTAGACAAAGGTGGGCTATGCACTAATTCTGCAGACATGTGTGAATTATTCAACAAAACATTTGCAGCTAACTGCCTTAAGTCCATAGTGCCGTCACTCGATATACACCCTACTACTAAAATGGCACAAACTCCATCTCCACTCGCACATATGAGACATATGAGAACCACCCTTATCTGTGGGACAGAACTCTATTGCTAAGGCTCCTGAGTTCGAATGGCTTCTGCAAAATAGGAGAATAAATAAAAAAGAAACAGAAGTTGAAAATTGCCTACAGCCGAAGTTC